TGGAAAAAAGGCAGATAAATGGGACTCTTAAAAGAGCCAGCACAGATATGATGGGCTGAATGGCTCCTGTGGTGTAAATTTCTATGGTTCTAACAAGGCAGCGCACCTTTGCATTGCAGCAACAACAACAACTTGCATTTATATAGCGCCCCTCACTCAGGGCAGTGTCCCAAAGCGCTTGCATGCTACTAGAATGCCAGCCTTAACAATATATTCCAAGCCTTGGTGTGCTGCTTAAATCCACAACATTCATGGTGCAGCATTAAAGCAATACAGATCACAAGTCACAGGTTCAAACCTGAGTTACCTGACCTCAGCTGGTGCCACAGTTCGAGCAAATAATTGGCTTCAAAGACCCCCGGGTTAGCAAAGGCAAAATCAGATACTATTTCCTATTCCTGATCACTATCTGGAGATTCCTCCTGGAAGTTTGTGTATGTTGGGTGAGGACAGAATCGAGCTCAGTCATAAAGAGTCACTGGCAACAGAGCCTGCCAACAATCACTGTCAGGCTCATGCATGACTAATGATTACTTGGGCAAATTATTGACCAGGTCACTTGGAACCTTATCCCAGCGGAAGGAATAATGAATCAGACACCTTCAGGAGAGGAGTAGTGGGACAATTTGGCAGAAAGGAAAACTATGAATGCTAGAAATTTCCTATAAAACGCTGGAAATGCATGGCGGGTCAAAACATAATCTCAAAGAGTATGTACACTTATGCAGTATATTCCCCATTGATAAAACTACCCCTACAAAGCTTGGTTTAGTCAGTCATACAAATCGCTGTAACAGAGCTCCTGTTATGAATCTAACACATACTGACTTCTGATTTGATGAACAGCTATTTGCAGTGCACAGAGAAATACCTTTTCACTGATGTTTGCCAGCATTTTCTCAGAGCACCACAATGCACTGTTTGTCAAACGGCAAAGCAGTTTGTAACGGGAGCTCAGCTGCTCCTTCCCCTGTAATAGACATAACCAACAAATGTCAGCAAATAAATTGTGCTACCCCATTCGCATTTAGTTAAATAAATAATACAACTGTGGGCACTCAAACCACAACGCTTTGTGGGTCACTGCTGTGCGCAATTGGCTGCTGCGTTTTACGCACACAATATACAGTCAATTCACTTTACAGTATATTCTGTGAAGCGCTTTGAGGTGACTCAACAATGTGATAAGGCTATATCAAATGCAAAAATTATTATTATTTTTCAGAGACGAAACATCTTTAATTTTAAAGCCCATTATACTCCAAAGGAAGGTGTGGAACTAATTCCCAGGAAATGTTTTATTTTCCCTTTAAGGTTATTTTTAAAAAGCCGTATTTATAAAATGCTTAATTGTCACAATTTAAAGCTTTTTTTTAATAATTCCCATTGGAATACGCACCAATTCCTTTGCAGTTGGAAAGAGGCAAATTTTAATTAATTTAATTTACCTGCAATAAAATGTAATTGGACTGAAAGCTTTTCAGGTGAATGTAAAATATCCTGTGGCCTATTCAGAAAGAAAACAGAGATTCTACTCTGTTATCCTCGTCAACAATCCCCCAATAAAACTGTACATTGTCATTGTAGCTTTTGTAGAATGTTACTTTACAGTATATCCTGTGACGTTCTTTGAGATGGCCACCCAACATGAAAGGCTAAACAGCAAATGTAAAGATTATTATTATTAACCGAGGGGCCTTTAGCAATCCCCCTGTAGAGCACGTTAAGCAATACTACATCCTGGCTCATAGGCAATTCTTCAAGGGTAGACTGCAGGTCATTGCTTAGTCATGCCTGATGTGTGTGTCTCTACTCACTTAGAGATGTTTAATACCGGATGGTGTTGGTGGTGCCTATCAGTGAAGGTCATTAGTGTTGACAAGTCAGCAGCTCTTCATATCAACACGAGAGCAGACGCTGGGACTCCATGTTCTCTTACTGCTTCAGACTGGCTGGAAGAGAGTCTCACAGTCCAAATTCCATTCTTGTCAGGTGGCTGCTTTTCTGATCCGAAACAATTTGTTCCAAAGCCGCTTGACTGGCAAATGTGTCAATGCGTAATCACTATCTGACTTAATAGGTTGGTTACTCAATCCACTGCTGTTTGTGGGACACTGCTGTGCGTAATTGGCTGTTGCGTTTCGCCCACAAAATATACAGTCAATTCACTTTTACAGTATATTCTGTGAAGCACTTTGAGACATCTCGAAGATGTCTTCTAATAATAAAGATTCTTATTATTTTTATTGCTGGAAGGATTCAACAACTCATTACTCTTGGCAGAACAAGGAACTATAAAGGATTTCAGAAAAGAACTAGAAACAATCTTGGAAATTAAAAGGAAGGAGGTGGGCTAGCTGTATTGAAGGAAAGTTTGGGATGTCAGTGGGTTGGCTGTGAACAATGGTATATCCCTTTCTGTAACCATTACTTTTTTTATATGACTTCACAAGAGACAAGCAGCTTTTTTTTTATCAGCCCCACTGCCAGTTTTGTTAAACTGTCACTTGGAGGAAGAGAAATCAAGGAGTCCCATCTGAATAATCACTTAATTTCTTTACTTTGATGTGTTACCTTGGTTCAGGTAGATTCTCACCTCTGAGCCAGAAGAATGTGGGTTTAAGCCCACATCGGGACTTGTAATTATGTAGTCTAAACTGACACACCAATGCAGTGCTGGGGGTGTGTTACATTGTAAGAGATGCCGACCCTTGGATGAAACATTAAACCGAGGTCCCGTCTGCTTGTTCAGGTGGACGTTAAAGATCCCATGGCACTGTTCGAAAAGCGAGGGAATTTCTCCCAGTGTCCTGGCCAATAATCCCCCAAATAAAATTGGTCAGTCACCACATGGCTGTTTGTGGGACATTCCTGTGTAGAAACTGGTTACGTTTTGCCCACAAAATAAATAGTCAATCCACTTTACAGTATATCCTGTGAAGCACTTTGCGATGTCTCAATGACATGATAAGAATCTATATATAAATGCAAGGATTATTATCATAAATATGTTTATTTTTAATCAAATAAAAACAAACGTTGTGGATCATCAGCAGATTAGCCTGCCTCTGAAAGAGAAAACTAGGTTAATACTTTGGCCAGAACCCTTCGTCAAAATTTAAAAAAGTTAATGTACTGATATTAAAATAATAAAATTGGTTGTTCACTGGTGGCTGCTAGTTGGACATTGCTGTGCGCAAACTGCCTGCCCTGTTCGCCCACAAAAAACACTTTGCAGTAAATCTTGTGAAATGTTTTGAAACCTCACAATGTGAAATGTGCTATATCAAATGTAAAGATTATTATTACACTATTAGTAGTATTAGCATAAATATTGTTTGTGTCTTAATCCAGCCATTTCATAGGGACATAGGAACACGTCCTCTGTAAGATGTCTCAGAGTACTTTGCACGGCACACAAAAAAAACACTTTCCACTGATTTAATAAGTTCTGGTGAACCACACAGCTGACAGATTTTTGCCAATTTTACGACAAAAAACTTTTCACAATAACCAAACTGGAAACAAATAAGAAAACTACAATATCAGTTTAGAGGGACTTGTGACCTCTATTAGTTTAGAGGGACTTCAGAGGGACTTGTGAGATTGAATCCAGTAAAAGTCCTGACTGTTTGTATAATTTTGATTATGGATTGAACCCCCGCCCCATTCCTGGAAGCCTCCTGTTCAAGTAGTTTTTATATATGGCTGGAATTGGGATGCCTGGAACAAGTGCAAGCCTCCCCATAGAGTGCTGGAGATTCTATGGTGATTGGCAGCACTTGATTCTAGACTAGCTACATAAAGTTTCCGTGGCAGACTTAAGCCAGTAAAATCAATGTACAGACTCGTAAAATTGTAGGCTTCTTTGCCCATGCATGGTTTAGGTCTGGGAAAAAGCTAACATTCTACCATGAAACAAAATCCTATTCCAAAGCACAACTGAAAATGAAAGTGCCCTTCCTGTCCTGATTTGTGAAAACGAAGAGTGCTTTTACATTGGTAAAATGAGTTGCCTCCAAAAGTAAAAACATGTCTTATAAAAGTGTGGTGCTTTGAAAAGGACAGTGATGAATGAGCTAACTTATTAAATGCAATACCACCTGTTTCTACTCAGAGAGAAATGATGTATGTCAATGAACCGTGTTATTAAAATGCTAAAAAGGACAAATAATATTAAAGCATATTGAGGTAATATCTTGCTTTGATTTCGTATTCAATAAATGCAATATTCCAAACTATTCTGTATATCTCTGAAAGTTTCCAAAGTGTTTGCATTGATAATATTTCTCTCCCTGCGTGCAGGGGTGTTTTTGTGGATGGTTTGTTTAAAATAAGTGGCAATTTCAATAATGTGAGCACAGGGACCATGGATAACCTCACTGTAAGCTGCTCTAGACATTGGTTTACCATTGTAGCCACAAAAGTAAAATGAACTTACTATACGGGAATGTGATAACAAGAAGCAGTTAAAAAGTACTTGTTTGCGTGTGACTTACATGAAAAATGATACAACAGCATAGTCTGCTAATATGATTTATTGACTGGATCATGCGCCTACTGAGCACTGGCCAAAAAGGGGAAAAAAGTCTTTTTTCTATGAATATTAGAAACAGCTACTGTTGTTGTTGATTTTGTTCACTGCTGAATAGACCTAATTCAAGGTCTGGCTAGCAGGGGAGCATGCATTAATAATGTTCTTATTCAACCAGGGAGATTGAGTCAAATTCATAGCTCTCTACCAGTAAGGTTAAATTTCACCAAATTATTTTCAGGTGTATGAAGGTATATATTTTTTCAAGCTTGAACATAGAGTTGTATTTTGCACATTGGAATGCAATGCAGATTTATGTTGTTACTTTGCGACACAAAGTCTTTAGTTACACGAATCAATGCTGATATAATCAAATTTCCTTTTTGCAGGAAATGTTTCAGTTGGATGGTTTGCACACAGTCTTTAAATAACTTTGTACTGAATATGCGTTTTGTGTTTCCCTTAGCTACACCAAGCAGCCGAAATCTCACAAGTTAGAGGAGCTCGGGTCATAGCGGCGGAAGACATTCTGTTCCTCATGCGCAAAGATAAGGTAGACCAAACACTTGAACTTGTTAATCCTTCTTAAAAGGGGTAAGCGCTGTAAACTTTTGATTGCAAATGTTCTCCCCTCTTCCCTTGAAGGCACTACCTCTTTACTAAGTGTATTTCCACGAGCAACTTGCAGTAGCTCACTCAGGTGAGCCTCGACAGTGCATATGCTGGGTTCATTTTCAGCTGTGAATAGAACCCGATCTTGCCCTCACCCTATGTCTACATATGAAATGTTTCCAGCAGGAGTCACTAGATTGTGATCAGAATTCAATACCTTAGTTCAGTGCTGGCCAAACTATGGCCTGCGGGGCGTTCAAGAAGCAGCCCCTCGAACATTGGCACTAGTCTAGGTAAGTCTGTGTTCGATTGATATTGTGTTTCCATGTTTTTCCTGATTTAATATTTCTTGATTTATGGCATAAATCAAGAAATGTTCAACCAAGAACATTTATTTTGTTGGCCAGCCAAAAAGATTGACCACCACTGCCCTAGTTGATTTGTTCATCATCAGATCACAAGATTAGTTTGGATGAAGAAGGCTCTTCGGTCCATCCGATCTCATCCTTCCAATACCCCCACCCTACCGTCCCCCCATCACAGCACCAAGCTGCTTTTTAAATGGATGTCCAGTATCCTGATTGACAAAGTACGATATGAAAGACTCCGCCACAAACTGTGGTCACTGGGTATCAAGGGCAAGGCACCGATATGGATTCAGAATTGGTTGAAGAGAAGGAAGCAGAAGGTGTTTGTTAGAGGATCCAAATCAAAATGTGAGCAGTACTAAGTGGGGTGCCTCAGGGGTCTGGATCCTCCTGTTCTTTGTATGTACTAGATTTGTAGACGTAGGGTAAGATAGTTATGTTTGCAGATGATGCCAAGTTGGGGTAAACCTCTCCGACCTCCTAACACCATATCAGCCTGTCCGCTCCCTCTGCTCGGTGGACACTGACCTGGTCCAGCTCACCTGCATTTCCCACTCATCATCGATGGTCGGGCATTCAGCAACTCTGCTCCCACACTCTGGAACTCTATCCCGCAATCTCTCCGCCTCACCCCCTCTCTTGCCTCCTTCAAGTCCCATCTGAAGATCTTCCTCTTCGACCTTCGGACACGCCCACCAACCTGTCCGCTCCCTCCACTCAGGAGTCTCCGCCCTGCTCCAGTCCCCCACAAAGCCCCCACCGTCTTTAAGGGAAAAACATTCAGATTGTGTTGTTCCTGCTCTGACTTTTGTGATTAATCAATTTAATTTCTGGTTAACTGACACGTGAGTATTTACATTATTGGTAGGGCTGACAACCCAAAGTCTAACACGAGTCTCCTGAGTTCCTTAGGAGTCCTGTAGCTCAGTGATTAGAGCACTCGCCTGGCAAGCGAGAGACCTGGGTTCAATTCCCAGCAGGGCAAAACCTTGGGCAAGTTTCCTTACGCCCAATAATAATCCCTCAAGAAAAAAAACAATAATAAATTGGTCACTTCAATCCATGACTGTTTGTGGAACACTGCTGTGTGCAATTGGCTGCTGTGTTTCACCCACAAAATATACAGTCAATTCACTTTACAATATATTCTGTGAAGCGCTTTGAGACGTCGAGAAGACGTGAAAAGTGCTATATCAAATGCAAGGATTATTATTATTATCAGTCTCAAAACCAAACTACTGAGAGTTCCACATATGTATGGTTTCTGTTTGTTTGGCATGGAGTACACAGTCACTCCCCAGAGGAATGTACTCTTCTTAGCTAATCCAGGACAGTTTAGGCACAGGCTGGAAAAAGCTAAGTTGTGGGAATCCCAGAGTGTATATTGAGGTACTATTGGAATTTAACTAACTAAACCTACACAGCCCACCATTTCAAACACTGGCAAACTTCCTTCCAGCTGATTGTTTAGCTAGAACTACCATACACCAGGGTTTTGACTTTCAAGTTTAAGAGGATCCAAGTGGGAAGAATCCTTGACCCGAGCAACTGGAATATATCAACAACTGGCAGAAGCAACTGAGAAGCAACAACAAAAATAGTATTGCATTTTGGACGAGAATTTTCTGATGGGAACTGTCATTTTGGAACTACCCGTTAATTTATTGGATTTATTTATTTTTACTTCTAGAGAAAATTACGGCGACTGCTAAGGTATATGAGCTACAGGGATTTCAAGTCCAAAATCGTGAAGGGTGTTGAAGAAGATGATATTTTTGACCCAGGTATTTCAACAAGAAATTGACATTGTTTTAAGGTAACACTTTTCTTTCAGACGCTGCTGCACTTCCCTCCTCACTCAACTCTCAGCGCCTTGGGACGTCCTCCTGATGTGAAAGGCGCTATACAAATGTAATTTGTTGTTGTTTGTTGTGAGTTGCATCAGAGATGCAACTTTGAGACTGAAGGTTGAGTCAGAGATATGAGCCAAGTGGGAGCGAAATCTGGTGGAAATAAAGTTTGTCATGGGGAGTGAAGTGGAAGCGGAGATAGATGTGAGCATAGTTGAGATGCCAAGCTCAGAATGAGATCCAAGTTGGACAGATATATGTGGATAATCAAGATTTACTGCATTTATAGCCACTAATTGCCTCTCTCCCTTGACACTTTTTCCTTCTATTGAGGCCTCTGTACCACAGATGCCAATCATCGACCAGTGCTTTGCTGAAGTGACCAAAATTCATTGTGAGCCTTGATATTGAGTATCATCAAACTATTTGAGATATAATAGCCAAGCGTCCCAATCTGATGTCTACACATGTGCACCTTCCAATAGGGTGTCTAGATAATGATCAGGAGAAGGAATGCTGGCCATTTATGGGATCCCAACTGCTACCCTAGCTGATCCACTGCACTTTGCATACAATATGAATTTCCAGTAGGAAAAGAAAATTTGCTTGCAACAATAAAAGCACAGGTTAAGGAAAAAGTAAATCTAATCCCACTACGAAGAACACAAAGTTATCAAAGGAGCTCATGGCTATCCAGCTTCAAGAATACAATTTGCTATTTTTCTCAGCAAACAAAAAACCCACTGTTTTTAATCTCAATGGATGTAATTTCAAATACTGTGCTGATTTAACTACTGCCCACAGAGCATTGTTAGTTATATTCTGCATCTGGTCATTCTGTACTTGACCTGGAAGTGCTCAAAGTTGCTACTGAATGCCAAAAATGGAAAATTATTCTATTCCCCATCACTGACATCCATAATCTTGATAAGCACAAATATTGACCAAAATATTTTTTTTAAGAACAGCTGCTTTAAGAAAAACAGAATGGCTTGCTTAAATGTTGAAATCTACATTTGTGGGAAACATTTGGGTGTAAGATTATTTTAAAACTTTGCGTTCTCTCCTTTGGCAATTTAAGATTTTGGTCTGTTACAATGATGTCTGTTTAAAGAAATGAGTGGGAACTCCTTATAAATGTATCCCAGCCTTCACTGGTGTCTGCTGAGCAGGTGAGAAATCCCAGGCTCATCTGTGCTGCAGATGTGCAGGAATTTATATTAGTAACTTTCTTCCTTCCCCTTTTCTCACCCACACATAGACAAATCCAGCAGCAGTATAAACAAGCGCCAGAAACTCTACCAGGAATTTCTCAGCTCCATTGACCAAACAGGAGACCTGCTGGGCCTGCTTGAAGAGGATGAGACAGATGAAGTCAAACAGGAGCGGCTGGAGGTGGGTGGACTAGACTTTCCTGACCACGGGGGTTCACTGTGCCAGATTTGTGCTGTTCACATTGATACATTCTGATGTCATGAAAAAAGGTTGTACCAACATCTGTTTTCCCATTACACTGAGAATTGAGCTGAACATTTGCTTGCCCTGATATCTAGATTTCACACTGGTTTAACATTTGTAGTGATTCACACCGGGTAAACATTTGTTTTTAATAATAACAAGCCTTGTATTTGATGTAGCGCCTTATCACATCATCAAAATGCTTCACACGATTTACTGGAAATTATAGTCACTGCGTAGCTAAAGGCGAATGTGGCAGCCAATTTATGCACCACAGTGTCCAATTAGCAAACATGAAGTCATAGAATCATAGAATTATACAGCAGTGAATGACCAATTTTTATCTGGAGGATTTCTGACAAGCATATAGGGAGAAATTCCCTTCTATTTTGGATAATACCATACAATTTTTAATGTCCACCTGAACAGGGAGACGGGACCTCCCTTTAACATCTTCCGAGAGAAGGTACGTCTAACATTGCACTGTATTGGAGTGTCAACCTAGTCTTTGAGCTCAAAGTCCTCACGTGAGGTTTGAACCTACCAACCCGCCCGCCCCCTCTGCTTGGCAGGCACTAGCCCGTTTAATTGACTTCTCGTACCTCTGGCCCTTAATAAACCCAGCCTGAAGTGAACGCCTTGTTTACAGAAAAAAATGCTTTTCTAACATCCTGGGTTCAAACTGCTGTTTGATTTCCCCGCAGGGAAAGTAAATATACAAGTGTGTTTTTTGGGCAGTTTCCTGCCTCGGTCCCATGAATCATTGTCTACAAATGTGTTAATTATGGGGGCAGGCTCATTGCAAATATGAAAGGGAGCATATTCTGTAATAAAATAAATCTATATTTGTAACAGGATATACGCATTCCTCTGTGATTTGCTTTGAATCTGTTGGTTTAAGATTAATGAACCCCTGCACGTTAACATCCATTCACATCATGTATGTTGTAGTTTAACTGCAACGGATCATCGAGAATCAGCTTCACTGTGTGAAGATAAAAATTTTCATAAATCTGTTTCTTCTAGGCTATTTGGGAAAGTGGCTTAATTTGATTACAAAATTGAAAGCTTAATCATTTGCATACTGAGACATTATTTTTCTGGGAGTCAGTCGGGTGTCTGACATGTGGAAACCCGTCACCATGTTCAGGAGAATCCAAAACCAGACTGATAATTCCACGCATTCCATCTATATATGAAAATTTTCGTACCTGGCATGGAACGTGTACTCTCTCCCTACTTATCTAAATCTGGAGAATATTCATGGATAACATGGAATATTCCGAAGGTTTGCCAGAGCCAATGCTTGGGGACTCCAGAGTATGAGCTTGGATGCAGCTGGAGTTTAACTACCTAAAACCAGTTAGCTTACCATTGATATCACTGTCTGTCAAGATTTCCCATTGTTCGTTTAGCGAGGACCTCACCTGTTAAAAGCTTTGGCTTGCAGGGTTAACAGGAACTGAGTGGGAAGAATCCCTGCTCCTAGTGAAGTTAAGAAGGAACTGAGGGACAATCATGTGTTTCCTTCTTTCTTCTTTTCTTGAACAACATAACAACAGTTTGAGTTTATATAGCACCTTCGTGAAGGGGAAGTGTGGTGGAAGAGGAAGGTTTTAAGGTGGATTTAAAGAGTGAGGTGGAGGGGTAGAGGGAGGGAAGGTGCTCCTGAGGTTATTGACATAGTAACTGAAGACTTGGCCGAAAATGGTGTCGCAGAGATGGAGGGGGATGTGCAGCAAACTCAAGTTGGCTAAGCGAAGGGGACGAGCAGAAGAGTGGAGAAGGAGAGGTAGCTCACAAAAAGGTGTGAACATGTGAAACGATAAGTGAGATAGTGAGGCAGATTGGTTCAACAAATTCAAGAAGTAATTATTGATTACACACAACTCCCAGGACACTCAACAGTTCCCCAGTACTTTGTGCTGTGTATTTATAGGCTTAACATGGAAGGCAATTTGCACACAGCAAAGTCTCACAAATAGTCATGAAATGAATCACAAATTTTACCTGTAGGATTGCTGGCTAAGACACTAGGAGAAACTGCTTTCACTTTTTGAATAGTGCATGGGATCTTTAATGTCTACCTCAACAGGTAATAGAACCTTGGTTTAAAGTCTCATACTAAGAACGCCACTTCCAACAATGAGCTCAAACCTACAACCTTCTGACTCAGGTGAGAGTGCTACCAATTGAGTCAGGCAATGAGAAACAAAAATAGATTTTCTGCTTCAAAATTGTTCTTCTAGGGGGCTGAGGAGATCCCTGTATAAATACAATGAAAGGGTATGTGGTAAGCTCAGCTCACCGACACTGAGCACTGTTCCTTTTTGTTGTGGAGTCCCATGGCGTAGTGGTTAGCATGCTCGTCTCACAAGCGAGAAGACCCGGGTTCAGTTCCCAGGTGAGGCGAAACCACAGGCAAGTTTCCTTACTCCACAAACACTGTTGCAAGTAGAAATCCATAAGTCGATTGGCGGATAGCTTTCCAGTGGTAATAAAAATGTGATCAATTAATCCAGGACTGTTTGTGGGACAGTGCTATGTGCAATTGGCTGCCGCGATTCACCCACAATATACAGTCAATTCACTTTACAGTATACTCTGTGAAGTGCTTTGAGGCATCTTAACAATGTGGTAAGGTGCTATGTCAAATGCAAGTGTTATTATTATTGTGCAGGAACTGGAAGGATGGCAGTCTGTTTAATAAAATTAAAAAGTTTAATGTCACACCCAAGACTTAGCTATTTTAAAATGATCTACAGCACAAACCAGATAAAATTTACAAACAATGCATTGATTTACAATGCAATACAATTTATGTTTAAAAAGCGCTTTTCACGTCAGGATGATGTAAAAACCACCTCTGAGATGTTTGTGGGAATGGTGGTGGCTATTATGTTTAAACCTGATATGTATGCACTTTTAGTGTTGGTTTTATATGCATGAGACATCAAGTCGACATTAAGTAAGGGTTCCATATAAATCGGGTTTCAATGAAGCCACTTTATACTTCTGACATTTTCTGAAGTCTAATATTTCACACAGTTTCATTTCTGAACATTTTACTGCTCTAGATAGTGTGCTCTGTTACCAATTACAAACAGAAGTGGGTGACTTATTACCAAAAACAATGGAGCTTAATCCATTCCCTCCTATTAATTACTATGATTTAGTTTTCCACAGAAATGAGTTCAATTTAACTACCAGCTAAACGCTATAATAGAGGAGGCATTAAGATTTCAGCAGACATCAAAACAGCACAACATCAAAGAATCTAATCCGAAGCATTTCATGTTCGGAGTGTTCCCCTTCAACGGAATACAGATCTATGCTTTAGAATGAAGATGATTCTGAATTTGTTTTGTGATTGTCAGAAGGTTTCAATAGTAATTAATTCAGGAAAGCCCTGGCAAAAAAGGCCTAATTATTTGCTGCATCTTACTTTGTTTGAATATGCTTACACTTACAGTTTGGCATTAATGCAGACCATTAAACATGCCATTTACTTAATTTGTTCCTGCAGGAACTTTTGGCTATAATTTTTTCTTATATTTCATTGGTTCAAATAACCTTGGAATCTCGGTTTCACGGCATTGCTGGAATCTCCTGATGTTTTTATTTCAATTTTGCGTGATTTTAGGTAGGAAGACATGACTGAACAACCTAAAATCTCCTCATGAATTTTGCTCTAATGGTCTGAATTATTTTGTGTTATTACAAACACTGGCTGTAAGGAAAATATCTCAACTAATTGCTCGTACATGAGCTTTCCAATTCCATTTAACTAAAGGGTAAAAACAATTAAGGGACTGAAGTTGCGATTGGGATGGTGGGCTTTTGGAGGAGCAAACACGAACATGAAAAAATGACCTGGTACTGTTCCCACCCTCTCTCAAAATCGATAGAACCTTTCTTGATGCAATAACTAGTGGATGTGATAACACGATCTGGGTGGATTTACACTTTGGCAGAAAGGGCTCGGGAATGCCATGTAATGGGGCACTGATCATGGAGGGTGCCAAAGAGAATCGGCCAAGTATTTTCTTCACCCCCACCCCCTCCTCCTCACCCGCCTGCTGGGAATCGAGAGGATCTTACACTCCTTCCACTCCTGAGCTGCACATGATTGCAACTAACTCCACTATGGCCGCTGGTCACACTGCCCACTCATGTCTCATGGTTGGTGGCAAGACTGTGTTTTGAGTGGGTCAAGAATTCAGTGAGGGGGCACTTGGGAAATTTCCCATATGCCCAGTCTGCCCCTGAATCTACACATTTAGTAACTAGTTCTCTTGCCAAAGAAGACATATATGGAAAACAACATTTTTTTAAAACTCAACAGTAACCAGGCTCCAACAACAGAGACTCAAAATTTGGCTCAATAAGCCAGCAAAATGGGAGGACAGCAGGCAGCAGTTTAAAGTACAGTGAATAGAGTTTTGTGTGTAGAAACTGCAACATGGTTGCTGCAGTAAAATCTTCAGGGGACTTGATAGAGTATTTGTAACACGGATGTTGCTGCACCATTTGCAACTTTAGGTTCATTACCAAAATTGTTGGACTTGCTATAAAATTTTATACAAAATTTGCTAAAACTCACAATCCCAAATTGTGACAAAGGTCGTTTTTACAGCCAAAAATTTGCTTTATAGCTTTCTGTGGTCTTTCGCAGGCCTTTTGTTGGCTGAGAAGCAAACCACTGGCTGTGATTGCAAACCAGTAGCTGCAATTATCAAAGCAAATGGGATGCTTCTAACATTGATAAATAAAACTGACTTTAAGCCTAATAAAACACCTGGATTTGCATTCAGGATCAGACTCCCTATCATGGCCAATTTGTCTTAAGATTTCAAATAGCACAAAATTATGGAAATTCTTACATTTAATGTAATTTTTACATTTAATGTTAGAATGCAATACAAATTCACATTTATACAGTATAGCGCCTTTCATGTCAGGAGGACATGAAGAGGGAGGGAAGGAACAGTTCCTTAAATCACATTCGCAGTAAAATTAATAATTTAAATGGGGGGTCGATTGGAGTGCCAGTGAGAACCTAGAACCATAGGTTAGGTGCATGATAGTCCTGGCTTGGAACCCGAGCTGGGGGTAGGAGGCGAGGAGGATGTGTGGGGGTGGCGGAAAATGACCAAAGGCACGGTCAAACAGAAAGGTCTGGAGATGGATCTTGAAAGCGGAGAGAGAATGAATGATTCAGAGGGATTCTGGGATAGAGCTTCAGAGAGTGAGAGCAGATAGACGGATAGCCTGACCATCTATGGTAAAGAAGCACTTCCAGCAGTACAGTATTCCCTGCATTGGGGTGTCAGGCAAATTATTGATTGCAGGGCTAAAACCCATGACTTTCTGATTCACAGGCGAGAGTGCTACCACCTGAGCCAGGATGTCACCTGATAAGAGATCGTGGACAGTATACTGTGTGCAGCCAGCAGGAAATGACTGGCAGCAATAGTCTCCCACTGAGTCAGACAAACAGCAGGAGATAATAATAATAATAATAATCCTTGCATTTGATGTAGCGCTTTTCACGTGTTCTAGACGTTCCAAAGCGCTTCACAGAATATATTGTAAAGTGAGTTGACTGTATATTTGTGGGCGAACGCGGCATCCAATTGCGCACAGCAATGTCCCACAAACAGTTGTGGATTGAAAATGACCAATTTTTATTATTGTTTAGTTTTTTTGGAGGGATTATTATTAGGCATGTGGAGTAAGGAAACTTGCCCAAGGTTTCGCCCTGCCTGGAATTGAACTCAGTTCTCTCACTTGCAAAGCAAGTGCTCTAACCACTGAGCTACAGGACTCCGAGATATTTTGTTAGTAAAATGAAATTGCCGCTTCTCTGCTAGACTTTGAAAAACTAATACCTGATAAATCTAAACAATTCAGCATGCAAAATAAAGTGAATGTACTAAAGGGAAATGAGCATTCTACATTGACGCCCCATGATAATGCAGCAGTTGGGACATTCACTGTGCATAAGAGCAGAAATATCAATGTATCAAAACCCAACTCGGAGAAAGACAAAATGGCTAAATTCTGGGTTATCCGGTCACTGCTGATGTCACTTCTTGCATGATGCACAGGAAGTGACATTGATGGGAACTGGATAAGATGGAAATTGGCTATTTTGGCTTCCCACCCATTGGCCAGTATTTTGAAGTGCTGTTATTCTCGGCTGAAGACCTTTCTTTTCGACCGCGCCTTTGGTCACCTTCTTCCCCCTCCCCTGGCTCGGCCCCGGGATCTGTTATTATGAAGCACTCTGAGACGCCGTCCGGCGTGGAGGGCGCTATATAAGTTGTTGTTGTTTAAGTTGCTGCTGTATTTTACATTTTTGGATTATTAGATTTAGTGTCCAAACTCAAACATGAAGCACGATACAACACATATCTACTGTAGCTTGAATGTTGAACTCTTTTTGCCCGGGGAAACAGTGATGTTTCATAAGAAATCTGTTGTGTCTCTATATTTTCAATAAATAAGAGAAACATAAGGACAAACATCTCGTCCTTAGTGTCATTAATTCTTAATGATAGATAAATAATGTCATATAGTTAATTGGTTCCTTACTAAAGGCTTACAGCAGTTTCCATCCTTAATGACCAAAGGAACCTGTATTAACAGTTCTAAGAGTGCAATTAGCGCAAGATGTTTAGTGCTTTCCTGCTTCTTCATTCTGCAGTTTCATTGACCCAGTCTCATTGCATCAGGAGAAATGTTTCATAACTAATATACTGAAAAAGGGACCTGGATGAATGAAACAACTACAGAATAAAAGAGCAGTAAAGTTTCTTACACTAACTAATCCAAATTAGTTTGATAACTAATGTAAGATAATTGCTAAGATTTGACATGCCAGAATTCTCTGATAAAAAGGAACATTGCACAGTGTTCAGCACTTAGCACTCAGTGCAGTATTTACACATGCAGTCTATGAAGGTATTGTACCGGATGCTGCAATGAACATAACTGTGCACAAATTGGCTACTCCATCCATCTACAAATACACAGTCATTACACTTACAAGAACCTTTGTGATGAGCTTTGAGGTATTTTGATGTGATAAAGCTCTATATCGGATGCAAAGATTATTACTAATATCCTTCTTTCCAAAATATCAACCCTATCATTTATCTTTACAGCAGCCCACAAATGACCATTTACCAATCTGCCTGTTATCCCATCCAAGTTGACGAATGTTAACTCATGTTAACCCATCCATGTTGATTACCCTCTGTGTAATGAAACGCTTTGTTCGCGGCTGTCCTAATCCTGCTGTTTACAACCCTAAGCCTGTGATCTTTAGTGAATACACAAGTATTGTTTTGGGTATACTTTCTCATTTCCATTCAGCATCTTATGTCCTCTATAAAGGACCTCACTGAAATTTCGACCTTCAAAATAACAGTTTTTTCTTGGTCACAGAGAGCTGAGCGCCAGACTCGAATGATGGATTCCGCACAATATGCAGAGTACTGTGAGAGTCGACAACTAAGCTTTGGTAAGTACAGTCACATTTAACTAAACTCATCTGATCTATAACTAAATATCAATTGTCCTACTATTTCTATTATTAATAATAATTCTTACAGTTGATATAATGCCTTTCACATTGGGAGTACATTTCAAAGCACTTAATTTATTGTAAAGTGTAGTGACTGCATACTTTATGAAATATCGCTGTCCACCCAACTTGTTCATGGTGTTTTTTTTGGTTAGCCAGATATCTAACACATCCGGAAACCTACCACCATGTTTTAAGAATATACAATGAAATTCAATTTACGTTTATGTAGTGTGTTTCACATTGTAATGACATTGTGGAGTCCTGTAGCTCAGTGGTTAGAGCACTCGACTTGCAAGCGAGACGTCTGGGTTCAATTCCAGGCAGGGTGAAACCTTGGGTAAATTTTCTTACTCCACACGCCTAATAATAATCCAAAAAAACAATAATAAATGGGTAATTTTCAATCCACGATTGTTTGTGAGACACTGCTGTTCGCAATTGGCTGCCGTGTTTTGCCCACAAACATACAGTCAATTCACTTTACAGCATACTCTGTGAAGCGCTTTGAGACGTCTAGAAGACGTGAAAAGCGCTATATCAAATGCAAGGAATATTATTATTATTATTTGATTTTAATTTGATAACTAATGGAAACTAATTACAGTGTTAGATGGGCACTAAATATCCAAAACAAGCTGTTGAAACTTCCTCATCAGCATGAAAAATTCCCTTTGTCTGGATTAGAGTGTTCACTCTATCTGACATACCCTGCTTCTCTAATGCCAGAAAGCATTAGACAGACATGGGTTGGCAAGAGTCAAGGCTTGTGGATACGAGAGAATGCATTGGCGGTAGTGTTACAGGTGAAGCAAGTGCTCATGTAGCTGTTACATTTGGATACACCATATGAATGGATTCAGCACTTCATAAGCAAATGTCTTAAATACCAGAAGTTTGGTATCAGGAAATTGAAGTGGATTCACTGTTTAGGATGACCAGACTCAGGAAAACAGAGGTTCCTGATTCTACTGTGGAGAGCTTTGCTTTACCAGTACTATTTTATGAAGATAATGTAAATTTTAAATAAGATGAAACGTGCAGCAGGTATAAATTCAATCAAAATGAATTAACAGGAAAATTAAGAAAATAAAAGGAATTTTTTAAAAATTTCCATGGGGAGGGCGACCATTGGAACAAACTCTCTCCCCCAAAAGGCTGTGAATGCTAGATCCATTCACATCTTAAGATCGAGTTGGATAGATAATTTATTAGGTCATGGTATGAAGGGATACAGAGCAAGGGCAGGTAATTGGACTTCAGGTACAGATCAGCCATGATCTTATAGAATGGTGGAACAGGCTTAAGGGGCTGAATGACCTACTCCTGCTTCTATGTTTCTAAGGCTGTCCAGAAGCTGGTTAGCAAGAGATCAGGGAAGAGGACTACAGAAGATGCAAAACATAATGCCACAAAATTCTTCAAATATATGAACCTAATGGATCAACTGCTTCTATTGCCTGAATAGTGTCTGGGTCATTGACTGGATGTTTAATGAATTGAGAAATTAAATCTGGAACAACACTTTCAGTTATGTTAAGGCAAAATATATGAGGGTACTGGTTTCACATTGTGAAGGACAATTTTAGGATACACACCAAGAAGTATTTTCTTACAGCTGGAAGTGGTTACCAGGGAGGATGTTTGAATTCTAGACATTGAACTCATTTAAGAAGCAGCTTGATCCTGTAATGGGAAGGTGGCAGAGTTTGTATTGTGGAAGAATCAACGAAAGGGACTTCTTCCGAATAACTCTTGTGAAATAAACTCTGGGATCTTGCAAGTGATTTCAATGAGGATGCGTGCAGCTACCAGAATACAAAAGTCAGCAGTGAAAGAGTTAGCTCCATACAGTTCACAAACTATATAAACTGTGGAAAATTGGCAACTAGTACACAATGATTGATCGCAAATAACTTTAACACAAAAGGAATGTTTTCTTAACTAGCACTGCATCTTGCTTTTAAAACTTCCTGCTGTGGTGTCCATTCAGTAATGGCCAATTTGGCCAAGACTCAACATTCCAAAGCTAAATACTATGTTCACATTATTAACGTGTATTGACATTTATAACTTGGTTACTGGAAGTGTTTGTGAACTAGTACAATGACAGGTTATAAATCAGCTTGTAAAGCTTGCTCACTACCTCGAGTTGCTTCGAATAGATGACTAAGAGATTGGGTTAATGGCCACTGGGAGATGAAAAAGACAATTAAATCATGACAAAATTGCACATGATCCAAGCAGAGGGAGAGGGGAGAAAAGAACGCTGAGTCATCAGTAAAGCATTCACTTTCTGTAGATACAAAGGTTTGAACAAATCTCCCAAATCTCTCTTTCAAAGTAATTGTTTTAAATCTCCAAATTGTGGTCCGTTGCATCCAGCGTTTTTCATTTCAGATCAAGGCAGTGTAAAATTTCTCTGGTAAACACAGAATTAAGAAAGCAACAGAATAAATTGTATTTTGATCGTTTCAAAACAAATAACTTTTATTGAGCTACAAAACTGCGTGTATTTGATAGGGTTTAAAGCAGTGGGTTGGTGAGTACTTTTTGAATTAAAACTCCACCAAACGTCTTTATCCCTTCCTGCCTTTGAAGTGCAGCTGCTCTGACACAGTCATAGTCTGGGCAGTTTTCTCAGCTGAAGCTTTCTTGGCTGTGGTACTGTGTGTACCCATGATCAGCAACATACATACAGGAAAGCCTGGAGACTAGTGGTTTACGGAAAATAAAGCACTGAGTTGCACTTGGCTGCTTAACTACAAGTGCTACCAGTTTGAGTTATGTTGGCCACAAAACTAATGGTTTATTCTACTGAAACTACCGGTTACTTCACCATGTGTAAATGAATCCAGAAAATACTGGATATACACAGCATGTTGATTAGCATATGAAAGAGGAAGACAGGTTTAGTTTAGGTGTCCTTGTTACTTGGTTTTTCTCTCTAAGCCAATTTTCTTGCCTTCTGTCCTGAAGGCTCTTCCTTAGAGATATATAATATATTATAATAATTCTTGCATTTGTTATAGTAACTTATCACATTGCCAAGACGTCTCAAAGTGCTTCACAGGATATATTGTAAAGTCCAGTGAGTATGTGTACTTTGTGAGTGAACGCAGCAGCCAATTTGCACGCAGCAATGTCCCACAAACAGTCATGGAATGAATGATCTATTTTATCTGGGAGATTATTGACCAAGACATCAGGAGAAACAACTTTCTCTTTTCAAATAATGTCATGGAATCTTTAACATCCACCTGAACAGACAGACAGTTTAATGTTTCATCAGAAAAACGACACCTCCATCAATGCAGTACACACTGCATTGGACTGTCTGCAAAGACTATATGGGCTCTAACTCCTGACATGGGACTTGAACCTGCAAACTTCTGACTCAGAAGCGAGAGCACAACAGAGCCAGACTGAGCTGAACTGAACCATAGTGTCTCACCCAAGTAGCCATTCTCACTTGTAAGCAGACACAATGGTGCCTCATACTCAATGTTAAATATATCTCAAGATGTAAAATGTGTGTCCTCCTGGAAGCCCCATGTATGTCATGCCAAACCACAAGAACTCATGTCAAATCGGTGGAGATGTGCTTCTTCTGATGCAAAGCCACATTTGTTATTTTCTGACGAATGCTTTTTGAACTACAAATAAATGTTGACTGGCTATTCTACAGTGGGAGACATCATGTGCAAGCCAGAATCTGTGCTCACCTGATGCCAACATGTATGTACTTTCCAATAAGGGAAGAATTATCACTGAGTAGCAATCAAGAATAGGATCACTGCTCAAAACACAAAATACTGCAGATGCTGGAACCTGAAACAAAAACAGAGAGAGCTGGGAAGACTCAGCAGGTCAGGCAGCATCTACGGAGAAAGGAAAGTGAGTCAACGTTTCAGGTCCACAACCCTTCGTCAGAACGGGATAGGATAGGAACACTGCTGGTTTTTTTACTCGCTCCTTAGCCCTGAGGTTTATTGTAGAATCTAAATTACTGCCCATGGTTGCCTAATCTGGAACATATCGGGATTCAAACCTCATGTATAACCTACTGTGTGTGATTTTGTTTGTTAACCTACTATACCATTGAGGGAGCTACAGGATGTAAAGTGTGTGTTCCTGGATACAGTCTCTCTCTGTCTCATATATATACAGTTCAGCCCCCCCCACACCCAAACTCTTTCCCTTCTTTCTATCTCTCTCTGTCACACATACATACATCTCTCTTTTAAAAAGCTTTGTTTATAGTTCAGATTTTCAGTATTTTGTCTTTTTAGCTCAGAATACACATTCTATTTCTAGAACGTAGATATGTTTTAAAAAAACATACATCACTTTACCTTTCACTTTGTGTTCTGGCTTTGCGTTTGTGTCCAGATTTAATGGTAGATTTAAATAGAGACTATGGAATGACTCTCATCAGGACATCAAATGATGACACCTAAAATTTGTGGAAAGGTTTTCATTTTTTTTTAAAAATCACCTTTATAGTAAGATAACATGGGAGATTTAAAGAAAGATATACTCTATTTGTCATGGCAATGTATTTTAGCCAAAACAGCTCTAGGGATGTTACATCTTCTATTAGCGGCCTGGGCTCGAGGAGACAACCCAGCCAGGCTTCCTATTCTTTTCCACTGTTAGTTCGCCATTTTAGAAGTGTGTTTGTGTGTTGTGGATGTTGATATGTGTGTGTTGAGTGGTTGTATGTTGTGCGTGCGTGCTTGTGTTGTATGTTTTATGTATGATTTGATGTGTATATGGATGTGATTGAGCTTGTGTGGGTGGATGTATGTTTTATGTATGATTTGCTTGTGTGTATGTGTGTGTGGATGTGTGTGTGTGAATGTCTCCCAAGGGCACAATCTGGCTTAGCTGCAATGGCCTCATGATCATTATGGACTGTTTCACTCTCTGTTCACACTCACATGAAGAATGACCAATTGGGAGAGATTCCTAGACTACAACTAGATACTACATGAGACATTCCTTCAGGAAACGAGTCATCAATTTAGGCCTCATAGTGTTCAAAATTGCTTAAGAAAGTCCCTTGTGGTTCACAATACTTAAAAGAAACATTTATGCCACTGTTAAGCACTCTGAGACCTCACCTCAAATGATCGACACTATATAAATGCAATTTGTTGTTCTTTAAAAGCACAGTAGCTCTTAATGGTAGACCAACAATAACTTGCGTTTATACAGCAGCTTTCACATTAAAAAAACTTAAAGCAATTTACAGAATGAGATTCATTAGACATTAAGTGAATGTTGTGTTAGCAGCATTGTGCTATAAACATTGCTAAAGCACTGGACCGAAGCAGGCCGAAATTTGAATCTGAATGTTGACTCATGCTCAAATTTACATACAGTGATTCTTTGTATGCAAAACTGTGAAATGTCACATCAAGAGTTGTACCTGTTCAATTTGTTATTAAAATATTGCCCTGTTTTGATGTATCAGTATTCAATTGCATGTGTAGAATATTATATTTGTAGGTGATGCAGTTCTTTCTGAGTAATTCTTCAATTGAGCCTTTATATAGATAATTTGCACCTGGGAATAGAGGGGGAAATCTCAAAGTTTGCAGATGATACAAAGGTAGGGGGAGTAGTAAAGACTGAGGGGAATCAATGACAGAAAGTTTGTTTTGGAAGGAACAACATAGGAAGAACTTATAATCTAAAGGGGTAAATGGACACTTCACCTCAAGGAGCCAGAGAGGAACCTTGGTGTCATGTTCAACTCTCAACTATCCTTTAAACCTTTCATCTGGGTCCTGACCCATTCAATTTCCACACCAATGAAACATTGTCTGCTTACACCTCTACAGTTGCCCTTGGATCGCTAATATTCTTTTTGATGGTTTTATCACATCCAGGGTTGACTATACCAACTCTCTGCTCATGAGACTCTTCCCTCCACAAGCTGCAGACCATTCAGAGCTCTGCAGCTCGTGTCCTCTCCCACAGAAGGCTTTGTAAGCCTATTTCCCACATCCTCGCTTGGCTGGCTTCCCATCCCCCAGAGGATTGAATTCAAGATCCTCATACTCACTTTTAAATCCCTTCACACTCTTGCTACATCCTAACTCTGTGAATTTCTAAACCCTATCAACCCACCTGCTCCCTCTGCTCGGTGGCCTCTGGCCTGCTTCATGACTCACAATGCCACAGCGTCACTGGGAGTCGACACGGCCACCAGGTGTAACTAGCGCAAAACTGCCATACATGTGTGATCACCTTGTTTAGGTTAGAACTCATCAAGGATAGGAGAGCACCAAAGAAAAATATGCCCATGACACTCCCAAATGTAAGGCCTTTCCGATGAGGTATAAATGTTTCTACATCAATTAGTTATTGAGATCTTGGCTGACACTCAGACAGACATTGTCGTTTTATAGAATTGTTTTATTTTAACCACTGTAGTTAGTTGTTAGGATAACAACCAAATACACATAAAAAAAAACTGGACACTTGGCTAAGGGAGAATAAAGTTGAGATTTTATAGGGAAAAGCCAGGATATGGGACTTGGGATACGATTAGGATATAGACAATAGTATGGAGTATAAACACCAGCCAGACTGGCTGGGCTGAATGGGTTGTTTCTGAGCTGTACCATCTATGAATGTATGAGCCTCTGGCTGCATGTTTGTGGGATATTGCTGTGCAGAAATTGGCTGCTGTGTTCGCCCACAAAATACACAGTCACTATAGTAGAGCGCTTTGAGACTGATGAAATGATGACACTACATCAACTGCAAGAATCATTGCAAGGATTATTATTTCCTTTCCATGGCTCCATTCTCTCCAACTGAGCTGCACTCTCATACTCACAGCTGCGGCCATCTGTTGGCTCGCTCTCTACCTGAGGCAGCTTGGCCAGCCGCATTCTTTGTGGGCGCTTACATTTATGCAGTGCTTTGAATTCCATTTTTGGTCTGTACAGAAAATGTTAATTAGAGCATAATATATCAGTTCCAACAAAGACCCCTGCTTCTTTTTGTGAAAGTGACAAATTGAACATTATGTATGGAGATGTCACTCAATATCTAGCTAGCTCCTGCAAACACATCAACATTTAGGAGTCCTGTAGCTCAGTGGTTAGAGAACTCGCCTTGAAAGAGAGAGTCCTGGGTTCGATTCCCGGCAGGGCGAAACCTTGGGCAAGTTTCCTTACTCCACATCCCTGATGATAATCCCTCAAGAAAAAAAAATGATAAAATCGGTCACTTTAATCCATGACTGTTTGTGGGACACTCCTGTGCGCAATTGGCTGCCGCGTTTCACCCACAAATATACAGTCAATTCAATACAGTATATTTTGTGAAGCACTTTGAGAAGTCTGAAGATGTGATAAGGCACTACATCAAATGCAAGGATTATTATTATTATTTAATCCAAATTGAATAGGTGGGAAGTCAGTTAACCATAGATTTCACTGATAAACGGTACATAGTACAAACCAAGCATATCATTGGCAATAAAGTACATAAATGGTAAAAAAAAATTGGTGTGCACAGGACTTTTTTGTGTAATGTCTATTTAAAAACTATTTTATTTATTCAGCAGGGCTATGTAAAGCAATTATTTGTGCTAAATAGGTTTTTCCTGAGGTCAGGATGACCTGGTTAAAAAAAGAGTTCTCATAGGCAAGTCATGCTCGTATGTTTGAGTATATGTTCTGTCAAATGTACAACAACAGAGGAATGCCAAAGTGATGTAGGAGACAGGAACGTTCCATTCATTATGTTTGTAATTGACAGCAAAGAGAGCAACCAAGTTTCGAGATTGGCTGGACTGGAGCAGCATGGAAGTCAAGCCAAATGCAGTTGCTGTAGAGATCATGGCATACCTTGCCTATGAAACTGTGGCCCAGGTATGTACAAACGTCAATTCTTGGAGAATGAAGAACAATGTTGAATGCATACATAAACTCCAGCAAACTATCGTTACAGTCCTGTTTGTTTATTTAAAAAAGGCGCTCATTTTTCATGGGTGTAGGACAGATTTTTGGGTCTTAAATAATAAACCCCTGCAATATATAGTGTTGCATCGAAACATAATGTAATCTCACTTAATATAGAGAGGATACACAACAGATCTCAGTTTTTCCATAACCACTAAGATCAGCTATGTATGTTTAACAGAGGACACGTGTAATGATTCTCAGTCTTCAATGTAATTTTTTGGGGATTATTGAGATAATGTAATTTTTGTGACTGGATGTTTCATAGAGGAAGACCAGTGTATATCATGTGTAACTGTAATGCACGTCACAAGGCATTTCAGTTCATTGTAGAGACAGGTTGATTGTAGTGGTTAGTCTTGAGTTTTTTAAGGAGGGATGATTGCAGCCCACTGAACTATATAAGAATAGACATGCCTCTCCACTGAACTGTCTACCCCCTACCCAGCTTGTTACAGAACAAATCAATTTCAAGATCCTCAGTCTCACTTTCGAATCTCTTCACACCCTGACTCCCTACCTTTACGATTGGCTCACACCCCACTCCGCCTTCCCTCAATTGGCTCAGGTCTTCTACATGTCCTTCTATAGAGAATCAATTGATATCAACATCTCCATTATTGTAGCTTACGACTCCCAGGATGGTAGAAGGCAGACTAGATGGAACTTAGTCTTTTTTCATCTAGCAATTCCTTTGCTCCACAATTGGAGGCTGTGCTTTCACCCACTCTGCTCGAAATCTCTGGAACTCCTTACCCTTTATTTTATATCCTCTTTGCCATCTTCAAATAACACCTGGCTTTCCTTTTCAACCATGCCTTTGGTCATCTCTCTCCCAGCTTGGCATGAATCCTCTCCACTGTTAATCACTCCGAAACGCAGCCTGTGTGAAGGGCTCTATATAAATGCAGGTTGTTGGTGGTGTGCTGTTGCCATCCTTCAAATGAAATATTAAATCAAAGTGCAATCTGCCTCTTCAGGTGGACGTCAAAAATCCAATTGGCACTATTCAAAAAGAGCAGAAAGTTTCTCCTGGCGGCCAATTGCCCAGATAAGATTGGTCATTCACTTCATGGCTGTTTGTGCGACATTGCTGTGCGCCATTTGACTACCATAATATAGTCTCCAAAATGTAGTCACTACACTTATAGTAAATAATATGAAGTGTTTTGAAAGGTGATAAGATTTTATTCCAAATGCCAGGTTTATTATTATTACATATTATTTTAATTTCTAATCAAAACAAAAACTTGCCTCTTTGTTTTCAGCTGGTAGACCTGGCTCTTTTAGTGAAGCAAGACATGGCAGCCAAAACTGGAGATCCATTCAGTCACGCCAGATCTGCAACTCTAGTACACCACCATATTACTTTACCGGAGGTACGTGCTTTTAACTAAAACAATAGAACCTTCTATATTATTGGTATGAGACACTACCTGCATGTCGGGCTCAAGGGAAGAATTATCATAGAGTAGCAATCAAGAACAAGTTATAAATGCAAGTCATTGGTAAAATTGTCAAAATCGTGTCAGGGTCGAAAAACAGGTTTTACGTTGAAATTTGGATTTACGCGAAATGGTGATATGATAGAGATGTCTAATTTGAGAACCGATGGGTTAATAATTTATAATAATAATCCTTGCATTTGATATAATGCCTTTCACTTTGGAAGGTCGTCTCAAAGCACTGCATAAGATTTACGGTAAAGTATAGTTATTGTATTTTTGTAAGAGAGCATGGCAACCAAATTGTGTTCAGCAGTGTTCCACAAGCAGCAATGAAATAATTCTACCGACAAATTTACTAAGTCTGCTTGTTTAATGCTATAACTGTGGCTGTGTTGTTCTTTCAACTGAGGAATAACTTCCCAGTAAGTGCTCAGTTGTGGAGGATTGTGACCCTTGGCATTACCAACACTAGGTTAGGAAGGAGTTGTATGAATGAATTAATGAACGTTCAGTGTTTCTGATAAAGCAGCTTGTATGCTGCAGCAAGAAATAGAGATTCTTTAAATTAGAAACAAATAGGTTTAAATTGAGATATTTTCAAAAGGTATTAATCACAAATCCTGGCATGAAAAAGTTAGTGAGCAAACGCTTACAAGAGACCATATTTCTTGACGGACTGTTTTTTTTTGGATTTGGGATTCACGATTTGTCAGTCGCTAGTTCCATAAACCTGAAGGCACAAACTGGTGGTGAAAATTAAAGCAACATGTCTTTTTTTTGAATATCGGTAAATAGCCTCCACAACACCCAATGTCTGTTTGATTTTTTTTTTGGACACAATACTAGAGCTCGACAATTCTAAAGGTAAATCATTGACAAAAGTGGAATTATCCTGGTTGTGATGTCTCAGAGTGTGTTGTGTGTGGTTTCCATCTGCAGAAAATAATCACACACCACACTGTGCTGTTTTTACTACATTTGAACAGCAACAGTAGTTTGTAGAGTGTTATGAAATGTTCAGATTATAAACTTTGAAAATTCGCAAGATTTGAAGTGAGGTTTGTGACCTTTTTGATTTCATCCTTCCAGAATACTCATGGTAGTGTCTTGCCATTTACAGCATTAAGCTGCTTCTTAAATGAGTCCAGCCTCCTGGCTGGACTACCTGCTAAACTGTTCCATCTGTTGATCACCTTCTGTGTAAACAAGTGTTTTACAGTGGCGCTCAATCCATTTTGTGCAACACTTTAATTGTAAAGTGTTAATTTTTCATCCTACAAGTGATAAAGTCCTTGGAGGTTATTCCAGGCTCAAGGTCATGAACACCATATGTAAATTCTGCAGGGTTAGAGGGCTTACACTTCTGTTGTTGATTTGGTTGGGTTGTGTGGCACTCTACAAGTTCCACTTCAGAAATATTGAATTAAATTGTTAATTTAATTTTTCTATACTGCCCTTTTAATATTATTGAAACATTCTGGGTATCTTGCCAGCACTTTTGTGGTAGATATTTAATGTCCAGATAATTGCCTCTCTTGTGTTCCTTCTGAACGTGGAATTAGGTGTTTTTTGTTAGTGCCAAATATTGCAGCTCTGTTGGCCGTTGGCTCCATCTACCATAACTGGCTCACTTGCTGTAAACTTTAGTTTCCTGTGGTTCCTGACATTCTTCACACTACATTTGACCAGACACGCTGGCAAACCATGTCCGCACATGTCTTTATAGAAGGCAATATTCTAATTTGTGGCTTGTTGTGACACCTTGAGAATGTGAGAAAACATAAAACAACAATACTGTATATCATTCGCCCATCAACAACCACAAAATTGCATTTATACAGCGCCTTTCACATCAGGAAGGATATCCCAAGGTGTTGGACAGTCCAGGATTTTCACCTGAGCTAGGGGAAAGGGCAGAACTGCAGAGGGTGGGGGCAAAGATGACTGAAAGTGTGGTCAAAGAGTTAAGTCAAGGCAGACTTTAAAAGTTGGAAGGGAGGGGTGAGTCCAGGATGGAAGGAAGGGGTTGCAGGAGCCTGCAGTGATAGGGCGAGGTGTGACCATGAAGGGATTTGAATGCGAGGACAAGGATCTTGAAATTGACCCTCTAGGGACGAGGAATACAGTGCAGCCTAGAAGGATGGAGGTGCTAGGTTCTAGGAGCCAAGTGCAGGAGAGGACACAGGCTACAGAGTACAGGATGGTCTGCAGCTTGTGTAGGGATGAGCTGAGGAGTCTGTGGAATATGAATAAGGATCTCGGCAGTCAGGAGGGGGCAAAGAAATGGCAGAAATGGGTAATGTTACAGGTGAGGGAAAGCTTATTTATTAATTGTATGGCTTAGTTTCCAGTGGATAGTCCTGGAGTCTAAAATGAAGCTTTCGCAAACAAGTTACTGCCCTAATTAAGGGAAATAGAAGTACAAATCCAGCTGCAGGGGTAGGATGTGATAGCAATTTCACAGATACGCAGGCAGCCAAGACAGAATTAGAGAAGGGAGTTTCTCCTGGTGATCTGACCAACAATCTCACAGATAAAAACGTGGTCACTTCATAGCAGTTTGTGGGACATGTATATCCGGTATTATATTATTTCATGACCTACCTCTTTGACCGTGCTTTCAGTCATCTTTCCCCTCCTCTGATTACGAGCTGGATATATCAGGATATAATATTTTAAGGAGTTGGAAAAATAGAAGTGGGGTAATTAATTTTAAAAAAAGCACTATCATGACAGTGAAAAGGATAGATGTATTTAAACGTAATCAGCCAACGGAATCACTCTGGGTAGAATGACAAGAAATGATGTATAAATTCTCATCATGTGTATGATGTTTGAGCCTCACAAGAAGATTATGCGGTTTCCTTTCTCGTCACAGCTTCAAGTTCAGTCTATCAATGTGAAAAGCAATCCTGACTCTCCAGAGAACACCCCTCCATCCACACCAACAACCCCAGCATCAAGTGCTCAGCACCTTGGGTTCAAGGCACATTCAGGAAATATAGGAAATGGAAGCATGGGGCAAGATTCCAACAGTGCTAAGGCCAAAACCCGTAAGAGGAAGAAGGTTGGTAGATGCTTCTTACTTACACTCAATTTACTTATGTATTCTAGACCATGCATTACATTGTGCTCTGTTGCGTCGAAATAATCATAGAAAATGCAGTCCATGACTGCTTTTGATTATACACTTCTTCTTGAGATGTCTAGTATTTCATCCTATATTCTAGATTCAGTTACTTTGTCCACCAAAGATGTTATGCTAACAGAGTTGTCATTTCCTCAATTCACAATATCGTATTTTTTTAAAAAACAATGGGTATTGCATTCACTACCTCCAGTTCTCTGACATGATTCTTTTCTCTTCTTAAGTATATATATCCGGGGCCTCAGCCATCTACTCCCTAGTTTCTTTTAAGGATTATTGGGTGCAGTCCATCTGAATCTGGTGCTTTGTCCTCTTTAAGCTTGTGTAATTTATCTAGTATTTCCTTTCTTTCTATCCTAACTGTTGTGTTTTCATTCCATGCACCATCTATTATTCCCATATTTTCTTTGTCAATCTCTTTGTGAAAACATTAGATGGGTTCTTACTATTCCAGGGCACTGCTGATGACAGCCCAGCCAGCCCGGCTCATCAACAGAACAGCAGACCAGGCACTGAGGCAGGGATTCTTCCCACTCAGCTCCAGTTAACCCTGCAAGCTACATCCCAAACGAGTAGGGTGGGTTTAGCTGAACAAGCAGTTGGAAAGCTTGCGAGACATTCAATAGCATGTGCGTTTAATACCGTGCGATGCGGTTTTAGCTGGTGAGACTCCAGCAATACCCCAACACACATTCAAGCCTTGGCCCTTGCCAACCTGCTCTTATACTTTCCAGAATTAGGTAAGCAGAATGTGTCCCTCCAGAGAGAGAGTGTGCATTCCATTCAAAAATAAATCTCTGGAATTTCCAAATTAGGGTGGGATGTATGGAATTCTCAGCTTGGTTTGGATGCTCCTAAGCATGATGATGGATTTCTGTATGTGTCAGACACCAGGCTGACCAAAAAAAAGTTACCATCCAGTTATTTCTACTAACTGGATTTAATAGATCAACAGAATCAGTAGATAATCCCATGCGAGGATTTAATTTCAGTTTTAATAACTTGAACTCACTTTATTACTTCAAAGGCCAACAAGATGATACTAGAGTATATGAATTTTTCCAAACCATTTGGAAACAAACCACCAAACTGCTGAGGGAACAAATATTGAAAACCAATTGCTCCAGAGCTATATGCCATGGTGGTGGTGTGTGTGGTGGAAGGAGGTTGAATAATAAAATGCTAAGGTTTCAAAAGCTGTTTTCACCAATGAATTGTGTGCAATGCTGCTGCAGTTTTTATATAATCCTGTTCAGTGGGATGCAAATTAAACAGTCAAATTTGAATCAAATTGGTTGCTTAAGGCAGATGGTGTTTCAATTCATGAAACAGATCAGGGTTATGTTTTGAAGTCAGGAACAATAGGAAAGGTACCAGGAAATTATATTACAGGCATGGTTAGTATCTGCACTTGCAGACAAACTGTATTTTAGTAAAGCTGCTTAGTGTAAGCAAACTTTGATCACGCAAGCCAAGAGTTGTTTCATAGAAGAGAAAATCTTTATTTTGACACAAACAGGGGAAAAAAAGTTTGTCTCTGGGAACGATTAACTGCTTTAATTAAAGTGATCAGACATTCAGGTTCCACTGTTTGTGTATATAGACCATTAAGGGACATTTTAATACTGACAGCAGTTGTAATAGATTCAGTCAAGTAGAAAATCTGCTTTGGAGATCAGAAATGGATATCAGGAAAGTAACACAGGACTGGAACATTATCCTGAATTCTCATTTAATTGCCCTTTGAGTGGATAAGTAAAAATGGGGCAAAGTTCTGCGGAGCTTTGTGTTCTTGAGCAAAGCTTTGGTGGCTTTGCCTGTGGTTCATATCACTTCCTCAGAACACTGGGTGAATTGGGGTATGCTGTACTACAGTGCAGTTGCCAATCCTCTGCTGGAAGGAGTAGATTATTTGCGTGGCCTTTTCTTGTTCCTTACTTCCTTGTGTTTTGAAACCATCAACATCTGAGGTTGGTGGTTTTTGGTATTGACATTTATTAACGTGTGGCTTCTCTGGTTTGTAGTCGTTATATAAGAAAATGTGTGATTAGCCACAAATTAGATCTTCCCATTTATTTTCAGCACTGCCATCACCCTGTTTCTTTTGTTTTGTTCACGGCCCACATTTCTTTCATATTTCTTTGTTTCTTATTCTTAGTTATTCAATCGGTGGGGATTTATAGTGTTTCTATTTCACAAAAGCAGAACCATTTGCCTCTGCCAGGAAATGAACGTAGTCAAACTGAAGTACGTGTAGATCTTTTGTGAACAATGGCCTTTCATAAGAGAAAGTACAATAAATCCAGAATATGTACAATAGGAAATTCCACTTTGCATTTGAGTAGATTTGAAAGAAATGTATAATATTGTCATTTAAACAAAAAACAACCCCAAATTTGCTTTATGTTGTTCACTCGTGTGAGAGTAGTACCAGGTGTAAAAGGCAACAGCCCCTCTCGAAGAACTTGACCTTTTTAATTGGTCTCGCTCCTGCTTTTCTCAGTTGGAATAGTACATTCTTTGAAATGAGGAGATCCACAATTCATCACAGAATACAAGTCTGCACCTGTTGAAAGGTGGAGAGAGCAAGTCTGGGTTACACCTGCACGATAGCCTCATAGCTCAATCTGCTGGGTCAGATCTAGGTCAAGTTCAATGGACTGAGGTCAGAAACAAGTTTGCAATGCCTTAAATTCACTGTGTGCTTTGGTTATTGGCCCTTTACTTCCTAATTGATAGGCTTAACATTCATTGACAATGTAAACTGGGCCTCGTTCAAGTGGGCTTTGTGATTGTTTTTGTTTGAGACAATGTTTGATAATGCACATTTGTCTAAGCTTCACGGTACTTTAACAATTACTAGACTGCATCAAACCAGCCCAACTAATTACATTGCCTGAAAATTTAATCTGATACATGGTTCAGTGAATTCAGTAACAAGAGTTTGTTCCTTGGTTAAATTATATTGGTGGGGTGGGGGGCAGATTCTTGTTTCTGTGTGAAATGTATCTCACTGCTATGGCTTTTGCATTGTCATTTGTTCAGTATGTTATGGTATGCAATACAGTATTCAGTATACTGGATGCATTTAATGTGTTTGTATTTCAAAAGAGAATCATCTCATTTCAGTAGTGTTGCTGATCCTCATGGTTGTTGATTACTGACTTATTTAAAATCTTACTATTCTTCCATAGTAGGATTGTATGTTATATACAAGTGATCACAATACAATCTTTTAGACTTAAAAGGGCAGCTGTCTACGTTAGGGAGTAGTGTAATTTTCATCAAGGGTCACATCAATGAGGATCATTGTATGGCACAATTTGATGTGATTTGCATCATTGTGATTTGTAAGAAACAAATAAGAAATCCTTTTGAAGGTGCTTACTACCAGTTTAAAATGACATTAAGTAGGAATGGCTTAAATAGTTACAATAAGACTTGGGAATAATATTATTATTTATAATCATAATTAAGAGACATTTACTTTAGTTAGAAAAGTTATTTTTGAATTACAGTACTCAAAACAAAAATACACTCTGGCTCCTTTACACTGAGAATAAGAGAGCCAGTCTCACTGTATCAGCATCTTGGAACATTTTTACCTATTACTGGAGAAATACAAGCTGTTATTGTAGAACAACTTTAGCTGTTACTCTGGTATAAGATGTATCTGCAGTCAAAAGAAGATGAGTTGGCACTTTAGCCTACCACAATGCTTACAGTGATGTTCTTGGAGAATAATAAAATACTTTTCCATATAAGTTGTAGAAAAGTTGGGTAAGAAACAATTTATTTTAACATTTTGCTTTTGCAATTTACCTTGAGTAATGAATGCCTTTACACTGAAAATGGTAACTAGGAGAAGCTTTGAGACTTTTGGGGAGAGAGGACTTTTGTGACCTATGGTGTTCCCTTATTATTGGTATTTTTACTCAGAGAATTTGAAAATATTTTACATTTTCTCTAACCGTTCCTCACCTTCAAGTAACAGAAAGCTTTCTTTCAAACAATCGTATCATGCATGTTGTGTTCACAATTGAAAGTTTACCCCTTTCATACGTTGGGATATGTGTGTATATCATTGAATTATATAAAACCTAACGAATGAAGATTATAACATAAATACATTGCTGGTATGTAATTGTGGTCTAATTTACAATGATTCTTATCCTGTTACAATTCCCATTGACCTGCGGGAAATCTGCTTTGGAAGTAGATTAAATTAGTAAGGAATTCCGTTATAAAATTTGCGAATTAGACCCCACATTATTGTAAAATTGCAGCAGTTTGTATTCCCTGACACATGGATACATCACTTCAGACAGGTTGTTAAAACTTGGGATTTGCGTTCGCCCACAAATATACAGTCAATTCACTTTACAGTGTGTTCTGTGAAGCGCTTTGGGACGTCCTCCTGACGTGAAAAGCGCTATATCAAATGCAAGGATTATTATTATTATTATTTAGTGTAAACTATTCTCCTGACAAAAGTACAGCCCAAGGTGATTGCTACAGACAGTGTAATTCCTCCATTGTTTTGCACGAGGCATGATCACTGAATGCTCGTAGATTATTTAACCACAAGGTTATGGTCCGGCCAATCCTCTGTAGATCTAACATCCATATGTGTGTACAACCCGCAGGGTGTATTGAATAATGATCAGGAGCAAGAACCCTGACAGATTTTCATTTGTTGGGAATTTGCCAGCGAATTGTCGCACCTCCAAATGCTGGCCTGGTTTGTGTGGCTGACTCAGCAGAGGACATGGATCGAAATTGAGACTTTCTCGATTTGAATGATTCAATGCCACACAAGTAGTGTATTTATCCCTGAGCCATGGGAAATGTGATGCAAAGTATTCAGGAGCTATTGGGGGCATTGCCTTAAACCACTATTGCAAGAAATCCGCTGCTAACACCACCAGAACAAATTTGTTTTTATTTTAACTCATTTCTGAAAGAAAAACAAGAAAAGCAGGAGCTTGTTCCAGTCTCTCGGTGTCGGGCATCTTAAAAGTAGGTCTTCCCCCTCTTTCAATCTTACCATATTTACCAGAAAACAACAAAAACAATTTGCTTTTATATAGTGCCCCTCAATGCAAAATAGCGTCCCAGAGCACCACGGGCTTTGCTGCATATCCTTCAAAAATTTTGGGGGGGTTTTTAATGTTGTTAAACTTGTATTATAACTGGATGTTAGAGGTTAAGTATACTTTGTTTTTTGCTGTGATTTTAAACAGTACATCTCCTTTTTTAATGTTCCTGATCTGTGAGCTTGCGTGCTCTTATTTAAAACAACCAAGATCCTTATCAGTGCTAGACTCACCACAATATTTGGGGATTGCGCAAAGCTTGCTAGAGAATCCAGAAGCATATTCACTGCCTATTCCAGGTTGGAAAATGCATGAGACCTACGTTATTTCAGCAATGGTAGAGCTGTAATTACATGTATACAGTATTTTTAGCCCGGAGCCAGCTGGAGGAGCATCAGTGTGACTTTTTGGATGCATCAAATGGCACCAGAGTCCAACAGTGATAATCACAAGGGGTTGCATAAGAAAACAATCTGGAAGTAGTAATCAAGCCGCACAGTCTGATACCAATACACATATTTTGGGCCACAGGTCTGGGACAGAGCCACTGTAAAAAAAAAGGTACAACGCTGTGCTTTTTTCTGTTTAGCCCACAGACAGAAATATGCATCCTTTTTGACGCATCCACAAATGAACTTGTGTGAAATTGTGGATTTAAGTTTTGGTTAACTAAGGATTAACAAAGAAATTGTGGACTGTGAATGCAGTCTTTAATTGGAATGATTCTCTCTAATAAAGCAAATTTATTAAATGGCCATGATCATCTTTCATTCCATTTCAAATCATTATATAGTTATTTATTATTACTAGCAAAATGATGCCTTTGTAAAGAACACAGAAGATAAACTGCTTATTAAGGGTGAGTTATGGAAATGCATTCCCATGGGTAAGAGATTTGTGTCTGAACCCTTTAAAACCTATTTTTCTTGGTTAGCTGGGTTCCGGCACATACAGAAACTTATCATCTTACTTAAGAATGCCCAGACTGAGAGTTTAACATATGCCACCTACACAGATATGTCCCTGCGTCTGTAATGCAATGTGCAATCTCTCCCTAGAGGGATGCATACAACCTATCTAATTCCAGAGAATATTTCGAGAGCCAATGCTTGGATCCTCAGAGTGTGCATTCGGGGTGCTACGAGAGTTTAACCAGCTAAAACTGTAGTTTTCCATTAAGAGCACTGTTCAGGAGGTTTCCTGCTGCGTCCAACTTGCACCACCCTATCCTTCAAAACTTTGGCTTGCAAGGGTAACAGGAGCTGAATGGGTGGAATCCCTCTCCCCTGCAAATCCTGCTGATGAGCCAGGGTGACGGTTCATGAACCAGAATACCGAGACCGCCATGGACAATTGACTCGATTCCAACATTCACCAAGCACATCACACTATTTTGGTCAGCTGGAAGTCTGACACATGCGGAAATCCATCACCATGTGGAGTCCTGTAGTTCAGTGGTTAGAGCACTCGCTTTGCAAGCGAGAGACCTGAGTTCAATTCCAGGCAGGGCCAAACCTTGGGCAAGTTTCCTTACTCCACACGCCTAATAATAATCCCTCCAAAACCAAAAACAATAATAAATTGGTCATTTTCAATCTACGACTGTTTGTAGGACACTGCTGTGCGCAATTGGCTGCCGCGTTCGCCCACAAATATACAGTCAATTCACTTTACAGTGTGTTCTGTGAAGCGCTTTGGGACGTCCTCCCGACGTGAAAAGCGCTATATGAAATGCAAGGATTATTATTATTATTACCATGCTTAAGAGTATCCAAGCTAACCTGAGAATTCCATGCATTACACCTTGACATGAAAATTGCAGAGATACATTGCTGGAATGGAATGTGCGATCTCTTTCTGGAGCGAAGCATCCAAGGCTTTGCCCCCAGAGTGTGAGTTCAGGTTCTGCTGGAGTCTAATCAGCTAAAACACATAACTTTCCATTGATATTGCTGCCTGGCAAGCTTTCCTGCAGCTTATCCAGCTAGGACCACCCTACCCATTAGGGCTTTGGCTTGCAGGGTTAATAGGAGCTGAGTGGAATGATTGCTATCCCCACTAACTGATCTGCCCTTCCAAGTCCTGCTGATGAGCAAGGCTGGCTGGCTGCAATACTGTGGCCCACCTGGCTCAGTGTCGCGACAACTGAAACCGCCACAGAGAGGTGGATTGATTCGGCCATTCCGTTACCAAGCATGTCACCTTGGAGCCAGTTCAGTTCCAAGGAGACCTCGCTTACTTCACCCCTTCCTACCTCGTTCGAAGGAGGATTGTCAGCAAAATGAAGTGTGATGATCTCTGTGTGAGAAACGAACTGGCACTTAGGACTGCTGGCTGGTTTAATGCTTCCACAAGTGGAACATTGAGTGCAACTTTAAATTAACTGAAAATTTAATAAGTGCTGCTCACCAATGTGTTGGTGTTGTGTCATGGATGGGAATTACTTATTTTCAATGAGCACACAAGATCAATCTTGTGGGCGGTAAAATTACTAATCACTTCCATGAAATAATTCGTCGTACCCAAGAAAACAGATGGGTCGACTAAGCACTGCAATTTTCTTTTTGAAGTGTGTTTCTGGTTTAAATGTCAACAGATTACTGTGTTATAAAAGGCATGAGCTGTGTTCAGATCAATCTTTTGCAATAAATTTCTGATACGTTTCCAATTTTGTCTATTTGGAGATGCGTATGTGGATGCATTTAAGAGTGAATCTAATGGCTTTGAAAGGCTAATATTGTTTAGGCTGCTGGGCTATGTGTCTTTTATCTGCAGTTGTCTTAGTGTTTTTCATTTAGTTGAAATTTATGATTTTATGTTACAGAGTGCTGCAGCCTGTGGGCTGGAGGCTCATAGTGATGCCATCCAGCCCAGCCACATCAGAGAGGTGATTCGACGATACAGCCACAAAATTGGCCCTCTTTCCCCGTTCACAGTACGTAATAACAGTGCTATAAAAAGTTATATTTATATGCAAGTGAATTTTTATTTTCAAGTGGTCAAAGTTCGAAGTATTGAAATTGTTGGGAGCAATTTTGTGGCAACTGTAATTTTCATGAAGAATAAAGTCTATGAAATTCTCTTGGGAGCATAAATACTCCATCTTTTTTGGCAGCTTAAGCATTACTAAATATTCTTTTTCATTACGGCTCATGTTGTGTTTTCCATTACTTTAAATCCAGTACAGTTGCCACAACAAAACTCCTCTGACATGCAGGTTTGCATTTATACTTTACAATCGCGTTGCTACATTGCGCGGGGTGTTTATTGCAGGTCTGCTGAAATAGAGGACAAAGCATGTAAACTTAACAAGTATCTGACACACCCCTTGTGTATTTTGTTTTATATAATGTACTTCCATTTTAAAACAGTGAACGATTGCATTTGATTATCTGCCAGGTTTGAGCTGTGTTCTCTTGATGGCTACATCAAAGAAGCCACCAACTCGAGAGCCAGTATGTGGTATTGGAATCTGCTCCAACTGGGTATTTATTGATTTGTTTTTAACCTCACTCCTTCCATTTGGTGCTGTTTCACTGATGTTACATAAAATGTGTGTGGTATGGTCGGAGGGGTCTTGAGTGCATTTTATACTTACAAAAATATTTCAGTTTTGTTACTTCGCATGATATGTGAGGATTATTATGTTGCTAGTCCAGGCATCAGGATGATTTGTAGATTTTCAAGAAAAGTAAGGGCTGGAGTACTGACTGTGGACTACTGATAAATAACACTCTAGAATTCTGAGACATCGTCTGACCACCTCAGTCCTGCAGTCCTCCAAGCTATCATCAGCTGGTTGGGTCAAGAGTAAAAGCTAAACTGTCAGCTTACATTTTGTTATCATTTTTTATCCTATACAAAAATGATATTAACTGTATGGACAGATAAAATGCTCAGACCAACTTTTTTATATAAATATCTTTCATTCTTAATATAAAATGACATCCTTCCTGAATTGTGTCTATTGTGGTATTGCTAAAAAAAATTATGGTCTGACATATGCGGAAACCCATCACCATGCTTAAGAGTATCCAAACCCAACTGAGAGTTCCACATATGCATGCTACCCATGCAGGGAATTTCCCTGTTGTCTTGAATGTAACGTGCATTATTTTTTTGGAGGGATGCAGTATTTATCTAATTATACAGCATTTCAATGAGTGTTCTAGCTTTCAGCAAATTGTGTAATTTTGTTGTTTAAAAAATCAGGGAAACATGCACCTCAGCTTCAAAGCAAATATGCTTGAACTTTGAAGCAGTGTCTTACTGGATGTTAGCTGGGAGAGAAAGAGAGCGAGAGAGCGAGCAGGCAAGCTGGGAGAGGTTCAATATTTTCATTTCAGAGAGAAGTAAATAGAACTCAGCAATCTGGGATGAAATGCAATCAAAACATTTATTTCGTAATACAGAGCAAATGTTATAAGACTAAGATAAGGAACACTTGTTTTCTGTTTGCTGTGATAGTTACCAGAGTCAAGACCCATGATTCAGATTGAATCATCACACTCATTTTTAGGCTTAATCTACAAAGTTCAGTCAGCAACTGAGTGTATTGTTTCGAGATAAATAAAGATTGTGGTGGTCAGATGGTTAATGTGGGGGTGAGAATCTGCTGAAAAAAAGGGCAACTCTCCTTGAGTCAGCAGTATCTAAGGGAAACAACATTAGAAAGTTCAAGAATTAACTGCAAAATCAACATTCAGATTATATGTATTGCAAGCTTGCTGCGTGCATGTGTTACTTTATGTCTTTGCTGACACATGAAGGTTGAAAATGGAGGCATTTGCAAATTGGAGGTAGGAATCAGGACTTGCGCTTTTCTCTCTTAGCTGAGAGCAGGATTAAAGTCTAACAGAAGGTGGGAAAGCACAACACAACCTTTGCCAACCCTCAGGATCATGATTTACACAACCACCTGAGTTGCTTGTTTTGCTCAACGAGCATTGGCCTGCTTCATGTCCTGCTGTCTGATCCTGCCCACAATCGTTGGGCCAGCTTTCAGCCATTTCACCCCTCCTCTCTGGAACTCCATCCTGGAGTCTCTCCAGCTTGCACCCTCCATGACCGTTTTTAAAGCCCACCTTAAAACGTAACTCTTCAACCACACTTTCAGCCTGACATTTTCACACTTCCCTCCCCCATCTTTTACAAGTGTTCCCTCCCACACCCCGTACCCCGCTTCTGTGTCGAGCTAGCTGTGCAAAGTGCTTTTAGATGGCTTTGCAACATCAAAAATGTAAATTTGTATTGTGTTAGTAAATGTGGTGTAAAATTTTTGGCAGCAAATTGCACAAACTATGTGCAAGTAGAACAGTGAGTTCCGTTTTCCAAAAAACATATTTAAGATGGATAACATAGTCTGATCCTACTTCATGTCAGTCTATAATAGAGAAGAATTGTCAGTACAGCTCTCTTTATTGCAGGTTCCATTTCAATACACGGGAGGTCTTTTGGGGACAAAAATCAGAAAAAGTCTGGAATGAAGAACATAAAATACATAAAATACATGGTAGATAATTATTTCTGAATAGTGTTCTTTGATTAAACTAAGCAGTGTTGTATCTTTTTTTAAATGGCACAATTGCTATTCTGTTTAAGTCATGTGAAAATCCTACATAAAAGGATGTAAAAAAACTTATAAAGACACTGCTGTGCACGATTGGCTGCCGTGTTTTGCCCACAAAATACACAGTCAATCCACTTTACAGTATAATCTGTGAAGCGCTTGAGACATCTCAATGACGTGATAAGGCGCTATATCAAATGCAAGGATTAGTATTAGTATCTCTTATTTCAATCAAACAGTCGATTGTAAAAGTGGAATAAAAGCATGTTTTGTGATGTGTTAAGATTGGGGGGCGAAACAGCACTGTTGTTTATGTCAGTTCTTTGAGCTGACTGAATAATATTTGAGACTCAGGACTGTATGATTCATATAGCAGCACCGTCAGGGCGAAGGCTAAAACTACCATACACCAAAATAAAAAAATGACTCATTTGTACTGTTTCACATGTTCAAAGATTGCAGGAAGTTCCCACACTGACATTTTCTATGATATGCAGAACTTTGCAGCTTCAGCAATATTCCATTAACAGACTAGTTAGTTAGTGTCACGTCTTGTTCCATTCTGGGCTTGTTTTGAACAAAACCAGGAATAGAAATACAGAACAGTAAAACTGCTGTTGTATCAGGTGGGACTGTAACATTTACGCGAAGTCCGAGATGCAGGCAAACCATATAAGCCGTAAAAATACAATTTAAATCAATACACAATGCTCACATCAATTTATGCAGCCGGGAAGCGAGCAAACGGTGACGGGATAAGACAACATTTCCCGCGATTCACGCATCTTGACCCGTCGCCGCATGCGCACTTACTGGCAAGCGCAGGGATCGTATTGAATCGCGGGAAATAAAGTTCTTTGGCGACGGATCAAGACCACTTTTGCTGCGATTCAATGCAGCCAGCCAGTAAGCACGCATGTGCCAAGGGGTCAAGACGTCATTTCCCCCAATTCAAGGCGGGAGTAAGTGCAGGGATAATGGAGAGTAGGGGAGTGGTGTTACGAGTTAGGAGGTAATTAATATATAGTGTTTTGTGTTTTGGTAGGAAACTGAATTGGATGTAGGACTTAGGCGATTGTATGTTTTCTAAAGACTTACGCAAATTTTACCATACAATTCAATTTACATTTATACAGTACCTTTCACGTCGGGAGGAATGTGTCAAAGCATTTAATACTGCTGCTGGGCACCCGACCTGGAGGAGTGGGAGCCGAGGCTGGTGGGCAGGGTAAAGATGACCAAAAGTGCGATCACAGAGGTGAAAAATATACAGTATATGGAGTGAAGTACAATCTATTTAATTGGCAGTTCTCAAATTTGTAGTGCTTTCATGCTAGATATTTTTTCTTAATTTGTAGAATATCTATCACAGTGTCCAGGTGCTCAGTATATTGATAGCTGGAATGACCGTAGAGTTGCTACAATTTGACTTTGTGACACCGATCTAAAGAGAAAAATCGGCCAAGGAATTACATTCCTGTGGACTGAAACTCCAGTTGGGATTATGTGTAGCACATTTTGCAGTGCATTGTTAAAATGGGGATATCCCATTCACAGCACATTCAGGGAAAATGGCTTTTTAAAGCATCATTGTGGTCAGTGGTGTGTGTGGATGTTGGTACAAAATGGGAATTGGATTGGTTTTGATATACTGGACAGTTGGATGGTACTCTGAGACACTACCCTGAGTGGAGGGCACTATATGAGTGCAAGTTATTGTTGTTATATAGCCTGCTGACTGACTGTCACATATGTAAAATAGCCACTGGCCCAAACCTCAAGCAGCCCCTTCAGAACAGGAGAGAAGATTAGCAGAACAGCAGCATCTTGCATTTATATAGCACCCATTACATATCCTGTGTGAAAGGTGCTATATAAATCCAGGTTGTTGTTGTTTTAAATTCTTTTGAAAATGAAATGATTTATAAATAATTTCCTGTGCATAATTACAGTGTCATTAGTGGAGATTGGCTTTGTTGAAAGTGATTGAAGATTGTTCTTCTGTAGGTGATGTTTTAGGAAAGATGGGAGTGGTGAAAATCATTTTGAGTGTAAACCGCTCACTGCCCCCAATCCTTTCCCTTGTTTAATTATAAACCTTTACTGTGGTGCATGGAGGATAAATACTTCAGATGAATAAGAAAGACCAAAGCAAAGGCAGGCAATCTTTTTGTATCTCCATATATCATCTCTGTTTTCTTTTGCTTCTTTGCTCTTCTCTGTGTTCATCAGCAAGCCAAGATAAAATACATTATATTATGCAAATACATTAGGGAGACCCTGTTATTAAACACCTCGCCAGAAACATGTTTGCTTTTAACACAAGTGTCTTCTATACCCGCAGTTACCAGTGATGCAACTTGTAG